CCCCAAAACCCCAAAACCCCAAAACCCCAAAACCCCACTCACTGAGGGAAAAGTTGATTTTTGGTAATATATTTGAATAAAGATGGGGTGCAGTGCATCTGAAGAGAGGGAGAGGAAGAGAGGAAGAGGAGAATTGGAACAAACTTTGGAGATTGGAGGAGGGATGGAGGAGATTAAGGTCTTTGAGTCGTATAAGAGGGTTACTATTGATGAGACGAGTGATGGAGTGATATGTCAGACGAAAGAGGGCAAGACTTTCCTGCCAGGGACTCTTGATGATTATAAAATGGTTGTTCAGTCTAGGATATGGAGGATATTTATAGATAGTGAAACAGCAGCATTTATGAGAGATGAAATTAAAAAGAGTATCTTGAAGAAGAAAGCAGAGAAAGAAGAAGCTGAGAAGAACAACAAGGCTGGAGCACCTTACGACCCTAAGAAGTCTGTAGTTGTTCAAAATATTCAGAAAATCATTGACGACTACCAAAGAGTAGTTAATTGCATTGAGGAAGCAATGGATAAAGAAGAAGTCCCTCCAGAACAAAAGCAGGTAGCTATGCCCTCAGGTATGCTCCAATATCCTTCTTCTAACTTCATCAATCTTACCATGCCCCATTCTTATACTGTTCACTAAAATCTTTTTCATACAACTCCAATCTTCTTTTCTCTTTTTAATCTCTTTAATTCTTGATCCTTCACGCCTCTCAACTCCAATTTTCCTATAACCCAATTCAATTCATCCCTGAGAATTTCTGACAAAATCCTTATAGCACATAAAGGAATTAAACAGATCTCAAAATCTACAGTTGCTAATTGGATTAAAAAATACAGCCAAAAGAGGTACCAGGATTTTGTGAAGAAAGAGAAATTGGGGCTACAAGGCGATTTGTGGGTGACTTGTAAGATTGAGAAAGACATTTTGAAGAAGGCACAGGAGATGGGAGCAAAGAGATTGCCCGATTTGAAAGCATTTTTTATTGATATGTGGAAGGAAAATGAACAATTTGGGATGAAGATAGTGCAGAGGCACTTTCCTAATAAGGTTGGGTGGTTTATCTTGAGGGTTAGAGGAAACAAAAAGAAGAGGAAGAGTAAGTTTCTAGATTTTGATTATTAAATTTTTAGTGAAATGAAAATTTCATAAAATATAAATGGTCCTGACTTATCAAATTTACCTTATTTTTCAAAATAACATCAAATTTACCCCTAAAACTTAACCGTTTATCCAATTTTCCTTCCAATAAACCTCCATACAAAATTTCTAACCTTCCCCTACCCACAACCCTTCTACTACACCTCATAATAACATTCCCTCACCAACCTCATCAAATTACCAAAAATCCATCTCTCAAAATCTCCAGTTACACATATAAATTCTGGAAATTTGTAAGGGGAGCGTACAGAAGAGAATTTGAGGGATTAAGAGAAGGGGACTTAGGAAGGGGATTTGGGGAAGTGGGGGTTTAGGGTGGAGGATCTGATGGTGTTTAGGTATTGAACCGTACTGGGGCTGATTGAGTGTGGTGGCGGAGAGGGCTGTGATGAGGCTTTCTCTTGTGAATTTTATGGTTTCGAGGAAGAGACTTGAGGATGTGTTTGGAAAGTTTGCAAAAGTTCAGAAACTTGGGTTTACAAGATGCAGAGTTTTGGGACAAGGTGTTTGGATAGATCCTAAAATAAAGTTTTCTATTATAAGACTTGCTTTTGCAGATTGTGGAAACAACATTTGAAGTAACTGGAATGAAACTCCTGAACATTTGTGGGACATCATTGAGCAAATTGGGAAATCAGACTTGAAGAACTCACTTAAATCCTGCCACTTTTTTAACAATGATAAGGTTAGGATGAAAGCAAAAGATATTAAGGAAAAGTTTGAAATTTATGAACTGACTAGCATTGCTTTGATGGTTAATAGGGAGAAGGTGATGAGCGAAGATGGAATAAAAGGTGAGGTTTCGGAGGAGGATGATGGGGTTTCGGGCAGTGCGGAATCACTCGAGGGAGAGGAAGGTAGTGTTGAAGAGTCTGATGATGATAAACAGTCTTCTGAGAGTGATGAAAATTCAAGTAGTGAGGAATGCCAAAGTTCTGAATATTAATTTCAAAAACAAAATTTATCAAACAAATCGACTTCATCTATGAGATATAGTTCAAAATCAATTTTATTCTTTCTTAACTCTACTTATTACTTATTACTTCTCTATACTTCACTTCTCCACATCCCCCTCACTCTAAACCCCCACTTCCCTTCATAATTCCCATCATTATTCCATTCTACCACTTCCCTCTATCCCGGGGTTTTGGGGTTTTGGGGTTTTGGGG